CCCCAAAACCCCAAAACCCCATCAATATATGATTGATCAAAATAGGAAACAATAATTATAAATATATTTAAAAAAAATTGGTCAAAAACAAGATTATATTTTTTAACAAAATGGAACATTTATCAGATAACCTCTATCCAAAATCTTTATAAGGCTACGAGCGAGATATTAAGAAAGGCGAAGGATGATTTGCAGTTGTTTTTAAGTATTATAAAGAAGGATTGCCGTACGCTATTAAATTTAAAAAAAATCAATATGGAAATACGCCTTTTGCTCAGGAAAGAGTGGTACTTAATTATATCAATATTTGGAATAGCAAAGTTGAAAATCAAGAATAAATAATAAGAGCCCCAAAAATGCATGCTTTTGGTTAAGTAGAATTAAAAGGTGAAAAGTCTGACTACAAAATCTTAGATTTTTGTGAACAAACTCTTGAAGATGGATCAATAAATTTTTCAAGAAGCGATTTAGCTCTTTAAATGTTATAGCAACTGGAAAATCTACACAGAATGGGTCTTATTCATCGTGATGTCAAACTTGAAAATTTTATGATTAAAGATAATCAAGTTTATCTCATTGATTTTGGAGCATCTTTAAAATACAAAGATGGAGAAAATCACATTCCCTTCAAATCTAAAAGCGAAATATACGGCACTCCTTATGCTGCATCTCTAAACTCTCACAGATGCTTTGAAGTTGCTCGTGCTGATGATCTCATTTCTCTAATATATTCTTTATTGTGGTTATGGGAAGTTGAGCTTCCTTGGAAAGAAATTGCTCTGAATCAAGGGTAATATTAGGAATATGAAAATGATTAATTATTTGCACCTATCTACTAATCTAAATCTAGATTGAAACTTAAAGATCTTAAGGATAGAGATAGCAAAATTCTTTTCTATGTACTAAAATATTACTTAGAGGAAATGCAAGACCTACAATTTGACAATAAAGATATTGATTATGAATTCATCAAAAAGTAATTCTCTCTATTTGTGCAAAATCTAAAACTTAACTGATAGTGATTTTAAGAAGTTGCTAATAAGTATTTAGATATCTGGATCTAATCTAACAAATGGATTGAATTGCAATAAATCAATTGTGAAAAATGAATTGACATAATCTATTTCTAACATTTCAATTGATCACTAGAAAAGTTCAATTAAATCTCTAGCTAAATCTTAAATCTCAGATATTAATCTAAATAACAACAAAAAATCATCATAAGTGATGAAAGAAAATTCAGGATAATAGATAATAGCGAAATTTTAAAATTAGAATACACCTTAAAATATGACAATTAAATTAAAATTTACCTAAGGTGGAGCAATTTCATTGTCTGATACTTAATAGTAAAAATTAACGCTGCTTTCTTCTAAAAAATAAAACTAATCAGATTAAAATTTAAGTATTAAAAGTTTTGAAACTGAAATTAAAGCTATATAAGCAAAAACTTAATTCTAATCTCTAAGTATTTTGGATGATAAGTTTTAAAATATCTTGAAAGAGAAATATAAAAAACCACTTTTTTAGGAAAGGGATTTCACTATTGTCAATGACTTAAAGAAAAATGATTAGACAGCAGAATAAAATCAATAACACATTTCAAAAAATCATATTTAAGAGTTAGAAACTTAATTTAAAAACGTACCCTAGATATCTGAAAAATTGCTTTCAACTCTAAATATAACCAAAGAAGAAAATAGAGAACTCACAATTTCTGAATAAGATAATATTATTCCAAATAAATAAGAATGCAATAGACTTTTAAACACATAAAACATTGAGCAAATAAAATTAGCCGAAGATTAATAATGTAAAGCATCTAATTTATAGATTTAAAGCTAAAGCAGCGATCACCAAACTTTGAAGTAAAAGAATTATTCATCTGTAGAAGAATAATTTGATTTAAAAACTAACTTCAATGAGAAATCATAAAAGTCTGATTTATCAATCTAATCTACTGAAGACATAACTTTAGTAAAATCAAATCAAGAATGATTTTAATACGGAATTTTGAAAACAAGTTGATTGATTATCGTACCAAATTGAATTTGGGGAAAGCAAGTAAGCTGCTGTGAATGATTAAATGAATTTAGTTTATCTATTCACATTTGATTAATTACCAAGATTTTAAAATATCTAGCTATTGGGGTTTTGGGGTTTTGGGG